AAAAAAAAAAAAAAATTAATTCATTTTCAACCACACGTTGTCCTATAAAATAATTTTACATGTAAACTCAATTTTTTTTTTCTATTCTTTAATTACACATACTTCAAAAATCACTATTCTAAAACATATTTCAGCCGAAAAAATGGGGCTCGGACAGGGGCATCATTTCATTAGCTAAATGTCTAATTTGGATGATCGAGTTATGATATTAGACCTTTGATGAAATAAACCGTACAATATAAGAGCTTAGAAACTATATGAATATCTTTTGAAGATTTCTCAATAACAATAGAACGTATAAGCTAATTAACGAAGTGAAAACTATTGATTAGTCAAACACGTAAAATATCAGTACTTCTTCCTTCAAACCATGAAACAAAGTATTCGTATGGATTGAAACTCTAATATCTTGTTAATTTTGTGAATGTAAGCAAGGTGGAAGAGGAGAGAGTAAAATGGGCTAAAGTTTCATACAACCAAATAAGCTAATTGTTTTAAAAGCGAGGCATCGATAGTATAATAAGCAAAATGACTAAATTATCCTGATCAAATAAGTAAAACTACAATTCTACCCTTTTTGCAATATAAAATAACATAAATACAAATAGCATTTTCCATAATATAACTAGTTATGCTAACATCCAACATTCTTACCACGAGAATGCAGCATTGGAAACCAAGAATAATCATTGGTTCTAAATTCATACCTTCGTACCAACCACAATAAGTAACTGAACCAGAAAGACAAGTAAAGGAACTCACAGTATCATTGCATGTGCTGCACACTGCAGATCTGAGAACAACCTCAGAGAAAAAACCTGGGAGGAATCAAAGAAAATGCGAGGAAATCGAGACCCAGAGTTCCCCAGCTTTGGGAATAGTACACGACGCTCTTCTTATTAGGAGACTCACAAAAAAGGCACTCTTTTTGCCATCCTGAACCTAAACCTGAACATACTACTAGCATGTCAACCGCTAAAATGCTGAAACTTGGTCATTTTTCTCATACAATTGTTCACTTTACTTGTATAACAGTCCCAAATTGAACATAACATAACAAGGAGATGGCAGATCGAACAATTGCTGTTCACTTTAAAGCTGACTTAGCTAAGTGTCACACAATTCTTGGAAATAAACAAGTCAGTGGCACCCTAGTTCAAAAATCCATCAATCCACAGGATTTTCTTGAACCAAAGATAAAAATAATTAGTGGGAAATCAACCAGTGCCTTCAGGTCAATACTAAGTGAAGAAGATTGAGAACAGAATTAGAAAACTGATGACCATGTATAAAATTCCAGTATTCTTCTCTAGCTATTATCTCTCTCAAATACAAGATTATCCCTCAAAATCTTCCTTGTTAGGAGAAAAATTGTAAAGTATAAATTTATTTCTCAAGTAAAAACATGCTATTCATTTTAATCCTAACATTAGATCACTGTTTTATAATATCCATTGAGATTTTGCTGAAGTCTGCGCCACAAACAGTGATGTTAGATGTTTCATCTTTTGTTGATATCAGTGGAAACAATTTCATATGTTCCTTCCAATTTTTATGTGCTTATTCAATTACTGATCCCTCGTTTTGGGGTAAAGGAGAGGTAGCATATGTTTTGACACGCTCCTCAGCCTGCAAAGCCTGCGTCAAACAAGATTTGCATATAGAGTGTTAGGGAAACAATTTAGCAAGAGTAAGTTGAACCGAGCTTGGATTTCTTGATGAATTAATTTTCAAGACCAATACACTTGGTAAGACCAAATGCAGATTCGTTCGAATCCTTGTCCTGAATATTTAGTTAATTCGCAAAGTTTAACAACTGAAATAGCTATAATAAGCAAACCTCTTTAGTCCAATTAGCCCGCAATACTTGCATAATCAAAACAACAGTTTGTAGAAGGCAACCAGCTAACATCCCCGACCAGATTCCTTGCACACCGAGATTAAATTTGTAACCAAGCAAGGCACCTAAAGGAAGGCCAAACACATAGTAGCACACAATGTTTATTAATGCAACTGAAAATTGCCACCCTGCACCAACTGCCACCCCTGCAAGTCGGGGAAGAAACCTTCTGTTAATTTTCTTTACTCCATAAAGAACATACCGATACTCTGTGACTCTGTTACCCTTAGTATAATGTGCTCGTGTACACTCACGCAAACAGAAAAGTACCTAATTAAATATTTTGAAATACTTTGGATGCAATTAAAAATGTAACATGATTTACCATGGAGTACAGGTTGAATACTGTTGAGTAAGATGGTTGCTGCCAGAAAATATCCCAAGCGGGATGTCGCTTTTATGACCTCCGGTTTGTCAGAAAATATTTTGGGAAAATAGCTTCTTGTTGCAAGAATTGCAACAGTAAAGAAAATTCCAAATAATGTTGATGTGACCACGGCCACTACCACAGAAAACTTTGCAGTTTTAGGATGATTAGCTCCAAGTTCATTAGAAACACGTACACTGCACATTATTGAGAATATTATAAGTACTCAAGGAACTACCAACTCTTCCTTGAATGATACAAATCTTAATGAAAATTTCAAATTTGTAGCACCAGGAATATATAAGCTGCTTTTTAATACCCAAGAGCTTTATCAAACCTCAAACTGTTGATTAATCTACACACGAAACTAATTTATTCGACCTTTTGAGGCAAATGGGGACAGAAGATCTCAACTCATGAGGGGAGGACAATATCTTACCTGATTGCAGCATTGAAACCTAGAGTAATCATCAATGTCCAAATTTCCAGATTCATACTGTCATATCAATCACGAAAAGTAACTAATAAAATAGAGAGAGTGGGAAAAAATTACTTAAAAATTTTATGAGACCCATGTAAACCGAAAAGTATAAACTAAGATTGCAATATCAAGAGATGGTTAAAGAACTGACCAAATT